CACAGTGGTCAGTATTGCTGAAGTGCTTCATGTGTTCATCAGCATAAATCTCACTGCCTGTGGAGTTAACAAATAGCTTAGAGACTTAACTCCTACCTTCATTTCATGTTTAAATATTTTATTGATCCAGTCTACAATCTTTTCAATTAAGAGTGTGCAGTTGACCTGAAGTTCTGAATTTGCATGCCCTAGAGAAATGGCTTTTGTGCAGCTTGGTTTCCACAGGGAACTCATGGGAGTAGGAACGTCCACCTTACATCTTAACTAAAACGCTTGTGCTTTTGAGAAGTGATTTTTCCTTTAGTAGTACAAACACTTTGAACAGTGATCCTTGTTCACACGTGGATAAGATTGCTTTGAAAAGCAATAAATAAGCTGAAGAAATAATGTATTAACATTTACTTGCCTGTTTTCCAAACTGTTTCAGTTTGATTGGTGTAGGTCCATTGGCTGAAGCATGAAATGAGGAGTAGAGCGTGAATGTTGAGGTTTTTAGACAGGTCTGGGCCTGCAAAACCTTCAGGAATAACCATGCCTTGCCTCTTCCCCTTGAAATGTCACTGTGTTTTGCTTTGGTTGTACCTTACGTGTAAACTGTACCCACCTGATTTCCCCAAAGACCCAACGTGGAGCACAAGTAGTTCAAGAGATCCTGGTCTTTAGCCAGTCTGTGCTGACCTGTTCTAACCAAAGATGGAATCACCTTTAGCAGAAATGGGTTTGTCTTTTCTTTAGTTTACATTTGTGTGTTCCTGGATTTTATTTGACAGCAAACAAAACTATTTCATTATTAAAAGTTGTAACTTCTTCCTAGATTTCCCTTTATAAAGAAGACAAATGTTACTTGTCAATGTTTGTGGCCTATTAACATAAAATTATCATAACTTTGTGATCTTTTTGTTAATATGCTATAATGAGGCAGTTAAACGGCACTAAAATTGTTGCTGGGGAAAGAAGTTGTTGAAGATGTGCAGATTATATGGCCTTCAGATAACATTGCTTACTCTTATTTTCTAGCTGGAAAACACCCTGTAGAGTACATGCTTTTTCAAAGATAGCAATTATATTTGTATTTTTCCACTTTTAGGGGACTATTTTAATGTAGTTTGTGAATTGTTCCAAGCAGGCCAAAATGAACTTTTCTTTATTGGAGCACAGATTAGTGTAAGACGAAAAGAAGAATAAAAGGCCCTCTCTGATCCAAGATGCTGCTTTCAGCAGTGGTTTATGGTATTTAGGGAAGAAAACAAAACAAAAACCAAACAAAGTACATAGCAATGATTGTGTAAAATATTCTCGCAGCCTTTAATGGTTTTCTGTTCAAGGATGCAAGTCCATCTTAAAATGGCTTAAAAAGCGCTGTAGAATCTGTGTTCACACACTCAGTTCAGCACGTGTAGCTATGTCAGATATTAAAACCAGATGTCTTTTACAAGGTCTGCTAATAAACTCATTCAAATTTTCTTGTTATTGTTGTTAAACCATTTAAGACAGAGGTAAGATGTAATGCTTCTCTGCTTAAGCATGGTAAGTCTCAAGTTTAGGGTGCATTGTTACATGCTGAAATAGTGCAGAACTTTCTGTTTAAATCCATTGTTTCTTGCTTGATAAGGGAATCATTTTAAATACATGCTTTTTATATTTTTTTATTCTTGAGCATCACTGAGGATATTTTACAGGTAACCTTTAAAAATTACCTTTATATTTGATCGTAGCTTTTTATTTAAACAAGGACCTGTAACTTGAACAGAACTGCTGTGATTTTTTGTGAACTATTTTTTGGGCATTCACTTGGTTCCCCCAAATGAGTGAAGTCACAAAAGTTAAAATTGGTAGAATTTGTTGGTATGGAAAAAATGCAAAATGAACATTTTGAGCAGGAGGGAAACATTACGGAGTTCTTTTTTCCCCAATTAACCTCTCACATTCGTCTTTGTTGAAACATGGCATTCTCTGAAGATGAGCTGTGTGTTTTCCACATCGTAACAGTGCAGGTTTTTATACAATCTTACCATATGAAGTTTTTCTGGTTGTACAATAATGCTGCTAAATCCGTGTTAATGATTGACCTGCAAAGCTGCCTGACAGATCTCCTGCCCCTCCGTAAGCTCTCCTTGGCTACTTTGATATCAAGGAGTTTCTGGAAACACTGATGCTGTAAGGAGAAACTGTAACATCCTGTAACTCCCTCCTTGGTCTGATTCGTTGGGATGATGGTGGCCAGTTATTCTTGCAGCCTGGACTGAGAATTAACTACACCTGAACAGGATTTCAAGGGCAAGTAATACATTTTTAGGTCAAAAATTAATTTGGTAAGATGTCTCAAGCTGGACTTATTTCTGCAATGCTATATGGTATGGGAAACGTCAGAAAGTTTCATAAACCATTAGGATAGCTCCTACTTGGACCTGAGAAATGATATTGTCTGAATATCTGGACTCTATCATATAAACCAGCTTCCGAGGGAACTTGGTACAATTTATGAGTCTATGAAAGTTTATGGAGTTGTATGGCCCAGACATTCAGTCCCAAGGTCAAGGTGTGAGCTGCAAACAGACTTCATTATATTGCTCTTGGCGTTGACGTGAAGCTTTTGATCAGTTTTTTGTGATACTGCTTGTACCGGGGAGGTAAGGTCTGGGAGAAAGAATATGTTCCTGCTAATCTTTATGACAAGGCAGTTCTTGGTTGAATTGTGTGCTTGTCAAAAGAAGGTGCATCGCTTAAGTTGAAGAGAGTTAGCAAATAAGCTATGCTTTAAGTAAGCGGTGGTTTAAGAAGATAGAGAATAGAGGTTGACAAGTCATCGGGTGTCTCAAGTGCTGATTGTCAAAGTAGGTTGTCCATAAATCCTTCAGCAAATTGTAGGCAGTACAGTGATCTGTCAGTGGTGTCATTGCAGCCAAATGTGACAGTGAAATGAAGCTGGAACTGAGCACAGGGTGGGTAATCATGGCTGCTCCCTTCCAGCCTAGCATCCACCAACAGGACTTCGAAGATCTGTGTCTTTCCCTTGTTTAAGATTCACTCGGGTGTTTAATGTTTCACTAAGATCTTCTGACCAAACTAAAAGCTGACATGCTGAATCTCTTGGCTGATACTACTTTCATTTGTATTTTCAAATACAGAATGTGGTCATAAACAATTAGAAAGATTTTTCTTCACTCAGTCAATGTAAGCAGAAGGTGTTCTTTTACATAGGTAATGAAATTAAATGTCTTTAAAGTGTAGCTTATTTTTCAGTTTATAACTGGTAGATGTGTAGCACTGCAGTCTCTGGTATGGGTGAAAGTTGGGTAACTTCATTTGAGCCCAGTCTTCCTCGCTGGTAATTGATGACAGCCCCAGAGGATGGATTCTTTAATGCTGAGTTCTAGCAGTCATCTTCCCGAAATGAGTAACTACAAGGAGTCCTTAATAACACACACAGCATTATGAGTGATTGGGGGGTGTTTCAGGAGAGCAATAACATTTAAATTCTTATATTTCAGTTGAGGCATTATGGCTCCCCTGGGCATAAAACCCAGATGATTTCTTACAAAAATGTTGTCATTCATGTGCTCCCTGCATTTGTAGGAAAGGAGCTGTCACGAAGTATAAGTAATTCCATTCCTTGAAGATTTGGGGCAGTCTTGGTAGATTTTGGTGTGTAGGTCATTGCTGAATATAACCTTTATTAGGTAATAGCAGTGTTTGACACTGGATTAAATTGCAGAATTGTCATGTAAATAATACACATCTCACCCAATTTAATAAAACAAAGGGTGTATTGGGTAATAGGATCAGGGGCTTGTAAGAAAAAAAGAGACTTGAACAGGAAAATCTTTCAATGTTGCCTATCTTATAGGGATTTTTTTCTAACAGATAACTCATTGATTTTATGGTAGAATAATATATTAATTTTGTTCAGTGCAGTTCAGTCTGTGCCCTACAGAGGGAACTAGAGAGCATGGAAGCTGGAAGTCTTTGCCTCTGTGTGATGTGTGTTAATTTTCTCCTCCTTTGAGCAAATCTGAATTTTGGCTGCTGTCAAGATCCTTATATTGTGCTGGGCTGGCCCGAGGGCTAGGGAAGTGTGACTCAGGGAACATACTGGGTGTGTGCCCTGGAGATGTGTGAGAGGCTGTCAGCTTGAGCTCCGTCCTCCTTGGCTGCTATTCTAAGGCTTTCTCAGTGATGTACTGCATATGTAGTTCAGCGTGGCATAATTATACCTGAATTGGTGTGGGATGGCAACCTTGAAGGCACCAGAGGGCAAAACTAGTACGCAGATGTTGATAACTTTTCCTTCTGGCTCCCATTAGATGTTCAGTTTACTGCATCACAAGTCAGCCAGCAGCACCCCTCTTAGCATTTCTTTGAGGGGGCTTCCTTTGCAGTACTAGTAAAGTGAATATTATTCTTGGTTCGTATTCCATCACCATGGAAGTGTCTTTATGCTGTGAGAGTAATTGCATGCAAAATTGTATTGGAATAGTTTTTGGCAGCTAATGAAAACTGTGCCATCACTTGGACTGACTGTGTCCTGAAGTTTTTTAGGGAGTGGAGCCTTGCCATTCACCACTTCATCGTACCCAGGTGACTTTCTTTAACCTCTCTGCTTGTTTGTTTTTAGGTGACAGTCCTCGGAAGAGGAAAACTTTCCTTTTTTTAGCTTTGCAGAATCTTGACAAAAATGGGTGTGCAGGAGCAATGCAGAAGAAGCCATAGTTGTTTCAGAGCAGTATTCCGAGTTTTACTTCATAGACTTGTTTTGTTGTCTTTTACAGCATAAAGGAAACGAAGATGGGGAGACAGTTATTGTTGAAAAAGACCATTTTATGGATGACTTCTTCCAACAGGTGAAGTTACAGTTTTCACTGTGCATTAAAGACTTACAGTTTTATCTTTGCCTTTTAATTTCTGTAACTAGCTTTAAAAATTCATCTACACAAACCCTCAAATATGCTTTGTAATGTTATGCCAAATCAAATGTTGGCGACGCTTTTGCGTGTTTATTTGAGGGTATTTTCTGTTTTCACTGCACAGAAGTGTTTTTAATTCCCTGTCGACAAGGAATTTGCTTATAAAATTTAAGAATCTTTTTTATTAAGAATAGTGGCACTTACATTTTTGGCTGTACAGAATATATTTGCTATTAATACTCATTTTTCTTAAAAAATAAACAAGTGCAAGCTGTTTAAATGCCAACATTTCTGCTGGGATTTCTGTGACATCCTTATAAATGTTGCAATGAAATACTTTACGATTTTTCTTACCAAAGATGTTTTTATAAAAACATGAATCTTTGCCTGGAATTATTTTCATGTTTTCATTGGCGTATTTCTCCTCCTCTAGGTTGAGGAACTTAGAAATAATATAGCAAAAATAGCACAAAACGTGGAAGAAGTGAAGAAGCAGCACAGCATTATCCTGTCAGCACCAAATCCTGAAGGAAGTGAGTATCACTTGTTTTAGATCTCAGATGTGTGTGTCTTGGTAAACCTAGGGGCTACTTGCATTTCTTTGCATTAGTGAAAGTGCTGAAGCTGTGGAACTTAGAAATAATATAGCAAAAATAGCACAAAACGTGGAAGAAGTGAAGAAGCAGCACAGCATTATCCTGTCAGCACCAAATCCTGAAGGAAGTGAGTATCACTTGTTTTAGATCTCAGATGTGTGTGTCTTGGTAAACCTAGGGGCTACTTTCTTTGCATCAGTGAAAGTGTTGAAGCTGTCATCTGGCAGGGTAGAGCCGTCACCTTCTGTGGACCCTCCAGCAGGGACAGGATCCTGTCTGACACCGCAGCCAGCGCTGCAGCGGCACTTCCATGCCTGAGCCCTGTTTGTAGAGGCTCTGACTCCAGAGGCAAAAGTGAGGATGTGCTTTCTGAGCAGAGAACTTACCCAAAATATGGAACCTTCTCTGTTCTCAATGCTTCTCAATTCCAGTCATGCCTGGGTTTGTGCGCAGGGCTTCAAGAAAAGGGAAGAAAAGATGCCAAGATATTTTTGTGAAACGTTGCAACACAAGCTTAACATTTATCTTCTTGTTGATGGAAACCGAGCTTTGGATGTTAGTTTTTCTTTTCCCCCTGTTTTCTTTGTTTATGGATGGACATACGTTTTATTCCTGCAGATAATTTTGCAGACTGCTTTTTGTCTCACAATCTTATACAGTCAATGAATATAAGGTTTAGTAAGGGCTCATCTGAATGTTTAAAAGCTGTGGTCTCAGCTCAGTTATTTTTATTTGTGATTAATGCATCTGAGCTGTGTAGGAACGTGGCATTGCATGTAAGTGATGTGTGCTCTTGTGAATCTAGTGTCTTCAGTAAACTCAGTAACAGATCTAGCTACGTTCTTCATGAATACTCTATTCTTAAAAACAATACAGGTAGTTCATGGTACAGTTACATTAATAAGGGCAAGAGCAATGAGTCTGTGATAAACAACAGAACTGCAAAAATGTGAGATAAATCTGTATTTTCACTTGGTAGACTTCAGTCCACTTGAACTTTAACCAACAAATGAATATTGCCCTGAAAGTGTCACATTAAGAAAAAACGTGGAGTATTTTATCACCTGGTTTGGTTGGTGATTTGACAATAACATTTCCCAAGCATAAGGACCTGCCATGAGAAGGAGGAATCTGATTGTATGCTGCTATAAAAGTGGTGTTTAAAATACTTTGGAGTATAATAAGCAAATTCTCTGCATGGTTGTACTGGATACAGTTATAAGGTTGCAAGGTAGAGTTGTAGGTGGTGGCTGGATTACTGTTAGCAGTCATTAACAGTTCTAAAAAACTGTTTTTTCATTTTCTGAAGGAACAAAGGAAGAACTTGAAGAATTAAATGAGGAAATAAAGAAGATTGCTAATAAAATCCGAGCCAGGTTAAAGGGTAAGTTGTGAGGAGAAATAAAACTACTGTCTCTTGTAGTGATTCAGGATGGTAGCAGTGTTACAACTTAATGCATTGGAGTTGTACTTCTAAACATTAGAAGCTGCATCGTGTATGCATAGATTGTATTGAACAGCTCTTTTAAAAGATAATTTATATAAAAGAGAACCACCTCCCTGCCAAGTGATGTGCAGCCCATGGCAGTAACAGGATCATCCTCTACGTTATTGCTCCTTGGCAGGGTTCACCGGGGATAAATACCAGGTCTCAGCACAGCCTGGTTTGTGGAACAGGACAAAAACCAAGATTGCTTTCAGAAATAACCTAGAAAATTACAATGCTAAGTAATTCCTCTGTAGGAATGTACTCTGCTACTGAAGTGCTGGTTTTGGTTGGGATGTTTGGGAGGAAGATTAACTTTAATTGCAAAAAGTCTCCATGGCATAAATTTCTACATAGGGTTTTGCTCTAGAGCACCTGTTGGATTTTAAATTCAGACCAGCTCGTTTTGCTGGGACTTTCCTCTATGAGTACGTCTTAATTGTTTAGCATAGGTTTTGAAGTCTATTGAATGTTTTAATGTTGCTGTATTCCAGTTACTAATGCTTTTGTCCTGCCACAAACACTGGGGTTTGGTGTTTATTCTTTAAACTGTAAGAGCAGCCCATTTTGTTACACCTTTTGAATTTTTTCCAGAGTAATGGACAGTTGTGTGACTCTTAGGTTAAGAGTAGTAGTTACTGTGTTTTAAGATCCGTACCAATTATCAACATTATTTTAAATTTATATGGAGATAATATATAGTGTGTATATATATAGGTATATAGTATATTGCTGCCATCTTACTCCTCCCTCTGAAATGTTGAAGATGTTTGTAGGGAGATTTTACATGAAAAAAGTAAAAATTGATAGTATTTGCAGAGTAACTGAGCTACACTATTAAATAGTGATACTGAACTTTGACTCATAATGTTCTTGTATTGTTCTTAGCTATTGAACAGAGCTTTGATCAGGGTGAAAATGCAAATCGGACATCAGTGGACCTCAGGATAAGAAAAACACAGGTATGTTTTCAGATACAGTTTCAGAACTTCGTGTTCTGTTTTGTTGAAGCGTAAATACCACTTTCAGTTGTTGTGCAGTACTGTTTGCTGTATAAAAAAATAAATGTTTTTGTTCCACATTTCTCAACCCTCCAAAAACAGCACTCTGTACTGGCCCACAAGTTTGTGGAGGTCATGACGGAATACAACGAGACCCAAACTCTTTTTCGAGAACGCAGCAAAGGTCGGATACAGAGACAATTAGAGATAAGTAAGTGACCTGAATACGCTGTTCTTAAAAAAAACTACTAATTATGTTGTTAGTACCTCCCTTGTTTGTTATTACTTAAGATGGTACAAAGCATCGTACATCTTGGGCACCCTGAAGCATGTTAGGGAAAAGAAACAGTTTACCAGATGACTTGAGCTCTTTGGTACTGCTCTTCAGAACAGCTGTAAAGAAAATAGAGAAGACTCACTAAATCATTTATTCTGTGTTGAAAATTATTAAATTACCTTTTTCCTTTGTTTCATTTATTTCTAATGGTGCACCTTTAAAGGAAACATTAAGAAAAGCTGCACTCTGAAGACAGCAAGTGTTATTAAAAGCCGTTCCAAAATTACCATGTTGAACAGGCCATCATCTCTTTATGCTGTGCTATTTTTGTCAATAAGAACATTTGTTTAATTGTTGACATAAAAAAGCTGACATAAAATCTGTGCTGTTGTGCGTCTGCTCATCATTTGTTGACGGACTCACGTTTTACTTCATCGTTGATTGTCATGAGGAGTATTCAGAAAGGTGTTTGACTCTGCTCTGAACTGCAGCATCTGCCTTGGAAGGTGTCTAAAAAAGTGAAAATGCAGAGTATCTTGTACCTAAGATTAGCCTTTTTGGGTATCTCCTCTAAAAGCAAATACATGAATTGCTGAAGCAGCAAGTGCAAACAGAAAAGTTGGCAAATTATAAGAAGGCTTTGCTTTTCATGTGCTTCTCAAATTTGTCATTAGCCTCTGATGCTAATGGTTCAGTTTAGCATTTCAGTAATGTTTATTGGGCAAGTTAAATTCTGCTTTACTAGCATGAGAGGAGGGACCCCGGTACTTCAGGACATGGCTCTTCTGTTATGGCCCAATTACGGCCTTCAGCCGTTCCTGAGCACTACAAATGTTGAAGCAGATTTACATCATTCTTGGGTATTCACATCAGGAAGCAATATTCAAACTGTAGATTTTGTCTGATAGGACAGAATTATGAGTTATTACAGATACTCATGGGAAGAAGAGGGATTTGATACATAACTTTTAAAGCTGTGCAATATAAATTATTTGAATGTGTTACTTAACTTGTAACCCTTGCATTTGTCATACCAGTGTGATCAGCAGGATTCAGTCTGCTTAAACACGCAATAATAACCTGAATTGGTAGATGAATTATGAAGTGTAGAAGTGAAGGTATGCTATGCGTAATCATCTTCTCTATGTGCAGTGTGAATGTAATCCTGTGTTCATAAAATAAATTTATGTCAAGATTTTATTGCCCACACAGAGGTGGGTAGCGAGTAAATTAGGTGGCAGTGTCCCATGATGGAATAGGTAAATAGTGCATGTTACACAAATACTCTGTCTCAAGTTCTTCCTTCTGACGATCTCTCCACTTTACAAGGTTTGTATGTACGTTGTAAATGTTTCTGATCAGAGTCTTCAGTTTGACCCAGAAAGCCCCAAACGAACAAAAAACTCCCACTAACCAGGAATTCTTCATTGTAGCTTTACATCTACATTTGTTTTCTGACTTTTAATTGGTATGGTTTCCTTTTTTTCACATGCAGAATGGCACGTTAATGGCTAAACACTACCTTCTTTTATCCTGAAAAATGCTCAGTCCAAGAATTTTCTTTGAATTGTCCCCATTCTGTAAGGTGACATGTTGTGTTCAGAAGTGAGTCGGTGCCGTTACGTGAAGTACTGTTGTTTCTGTCCTAGCTGGAAAGACCACCACGGATGAGGAACTGGAAGAGATGTTAGAGAGCGGCAATCCTTCAATTTTCACTTCAGATGTATGTATTTCTGGTCCAGTTTTGTCTCTCTCCTGTTCTGCTGCTTCTCCTCTGTATAATTGTGTCAGCACATATTTATGTCTATCTTTTCTCGTTCTCCCAAAGATTATATCAGACTCTCAAATAACCAGGCAAGCTCTGAATGAAATCGAGTCACGTCACAAGGATATCATGAAACTGGAGTCCAGCATACGGGAACTACATGAGATGTTTATGGACATGGCAATGTTTGTTGAGACTCAGGTAAATGAACCAATTCAAACACCTTTATGGAAGGGGGATTTTTTTTCCCCAGTCTTCCTCTTGAAATGTGCAGAAACAACGGCTTGTGTTCAGATAGTGCAGACTTAGTGGTTTTTGGCTGTGGTTAGGGTATATGAAGGTTAATCACTAAAGGTTTTTTGTTTTGTTTTAGACAAATACACAATGTAGATGTAGTATATGCTATGAATAATTAAGCACAGACTATATTTTCAGTTTGTATACTTATTATTTTCTTCAACGTGCTTATATTCCAATATGCTTGAAGATGTTGTGCAAGTTTAAGTAAGAACAACTCTCGCCTGGACTGTTGGCTGATGTCTGGAATGTAGGGTTCCCACAGACATCAAGCACTACTGTGGTATAATAAAATGTTAGCAAGGATGTATGCGACTTGCCCGTAATCCAAAGGTATGGTTGCTGTCATAGCTAACAGGAAAGGACTGACAGGTCATTCGAGTTGTCTCCTACAAACTTTGTCTTGACATGTACATAGATTTGTTCTATTTGTAGTCTTTATGTAGCAACTACATAATTCTTTAAATTATGCAGGGAAGTGAAAAGCACAATGTTCAGGAGAGAAACTTTTTAATTTTTTTTTTAATTGGGTTTTGTCCTAGAAGTGCTGTGTAGCTTTGATACTAAATATACAAGCCAGGCAAATTGGTAGCAGTCTTCTTTTTAATTAGAAATGAACCTCAGTTACTCGTGCATCATTCTTTAATGCTTTGCTGTTTACTGCTGCTGCTTATTTCTCCTGATGGACAGAAACGCAGGTAACAGACTTACTGTAATTTCTCACCAATCCTCCATTTCATTACCAAATTTCACTCATTGTCTTTGATTTGAATTTGTTATGTGTTGACATTGTAAACCCTCCGTTCTGAGGAACATTTGAAGCTGCATTACATTTGCATTTTCGTAGATACCCGTTGAGCCTTGTGTCAGAATAGTTACAGCAGTCTCAGCTGTGGCTGTTAAACACCACCTCCCATCCAGGTGTGTTTTCAGCTGCTCAGGATTTCTTCCTGCAGAAGGGAGAAATCTGCCTGCCCTGCTCGTCAGTGTCCCTGTTCGGTTACAACTCGGAGCCCTCGCTTCTCATTCCCTCTTTCCTTTACCCATCAAAGCAGAAAAAAATGTCGGCCGCTAATACGTACATTATTCATTTGTTTAAAATAATCCTTGGTGCTCTATAGCTTTTCTTCTCTTAGGTTCATTCAACGAGCATCCCAATAATAACATTTTCTTTCTTCAAAATTTCATTTTAAGGGTGAGATGATCAACAACATAGAAAAGAACGTGATGAATGCATCAGATTACGTGGAACATGCGAAAGAAGAGACAAAAAAGGCAGTTAGATATCAAAGTAAAGCACGAAGGGTATGCTGTCTTTCCTAATTGTGCTAGTCAGTGTGTTACTAACTTGGCACAGAATGAAGCTACCTTCAGTTTTAGTTGATTTTTTGTTGCTGTATTCAGTCCTTCAAGGTAGAATTAATATATGCGTTTTATTTTTGTGTAGTTGTGTTACTCAAAATTAGATTAGATGTTGTTCTACATTACTGTGTGACAGAGGAAGATCTGGCAAAGGATTTTAGAGACAACTGCCCCATAATGCTAGTTTACCTGTGAACAGTTTAAAAATGTTCATTCCTGTGTGTGCAAGAGTGCGTGCATAAATTGATCTCGATCTGAGAGTACTGCAGGCTTTAGTAAAAATGAGCGTGAGTCTACAACCCGGTTACTTTAAAATCTGAAAGTAAATGCAAGTCTGAATGTACTTAATAATAATAATAATAATAATACTACCTCGTTTTTTGACAGAAAATGTGGATAATTATCATTGTGTCATTGGTGTTGATTGCCATAATTGCTCTAATTATTGGTTTGTCTGTTGGTATTCGGTGACGCGTGGATAGCCGCAGCGTGCGTGACTTCCTGCCAATGTGGCAGTAAGTAACTAATCCACTAATTTTGCTCTCACTTTGCTCTGGTAACTTGTTGTCCTACTAACCCTTAATATGTGTACAGTCAGTACAGGGGGTAGGGCTGAGATGCCTTGCTGGGTCTGCTCTGTCTGCATACTGTAACGTGCTGTGCATGGGAATTTGGGAAGCTGACATCTGGCGGTGAGCTGCTAAACTTACAGAGCGCAGTCACGCCATGAAATACATCAGCACGGCAGGAAACGAGACAAAAATATCCAGTTAGTGCTCCTGGCCCTGTCATTTGATTTTATTTAATTTATTTTTTTTTAATACTGAAAGTTCACATCAGCAAACACTGCACTGAGATATGGAATACTGCTCACACTTGAAACTTTATCAAACAGGGTTTCCAATGGTCTTGTGTAGAGCTGACATAAAAGTAGATGTCTGCAACCATGAAGCTGGCTGTTTTGCCTTGCAGAACACCCTGAAATTTCTGTTTGTTAATACTAGACTAAACGAAACAGTGGGGAACAACAACGTATTTGTTCAAGGAAGTCTGCAAAGCTTCTAATTTTAGGACATAAATTTGAGAATTCTCTCAATTATCTGTTGTAAGCGGTGCTTATCTGCTGTTTTTGTCAAGGTAACACCCAACCATGCTCAGTAGGAAATAGCAGTTAACTCTGAGTCCAGTAGCAGCTCAGCTTTCTACATGTAGTATCTTCAGATGCTACGGGAGGCATTAAGGGTGGGATGTCACTTCAGACAGCTCCTCAGCAGTTCGGTTTTCTGTACTAACGCTCTTTTAATACTGAACTCTTTAGTTTTGGTGCTGCAGCTTGAGCTTATGGGCAGATAAGAGGATTTAATGTGTCATTGCTTATAGTCAGAAATACCTGACCTAATGACATAATGCCAGACTTCCATTTCTTTACACACAACCCATCTTTTTTTCCTTCCTTTCTTCTTGGAGCCCTTCTGAGCTTTACCCACACAGTGTTTTTACTGACCTCTTATTGAATTCCACAAAGTGCAATTGTAGAGACTGGAGCAGGCTACAAATATTTATCCAAGGAGGGTGGCAGTGAGCAGTGTTACTATACTTAGACCTGACCTTGATGAGTAAATGTTCAGTCTTGCATCTGGTTCGATACGTAATGGCATTTACAGAAGTTGGGTCTGAGTAATTACAGTTACTCTGTGAAACAAAACACAGCAGTGCTACACAGAGAGCTCTTGTAACTGTGGTTACCTGCGTGTTAGGAAAGAACTAACAATAATAATCATAGCAGTGAGTATTCTTCAAAAGAAAACCCAAACACATCAGGTATCATACTGTGCATTTTCTGTGGCTGTGTGTATTTAAGCAGTTCAGTGTCTGGCAAGCTGTTTCAATCTCAACCTTTCTCTCTTTCTTGCAGAAATTGATGTTCATAATTATATGTGTAACCGTATTGCTTCTGATTCTTGGAATTGTCCTAGCAACAACGCTGTCGTAGCGAGCGCGTTCCAAGAGCCGTGAGCCTTCGGAAACTCAAACCACATCTTCAGTGAAACCAAACCTCGTCTGACAGGTGATGCCTCACGCTGTTCCCCGATGATGACCCACCACTAATGGTTAAAATTAAAACAAAGATCACTCTTAATGTTTACTCACAAATGAATATCAGAATGTATTAGGATCCGTGTGGATTTCCATCATGAACTATTGAAACTCGCTCGTAATTGTTCTGAACTACAGTCGGACGTCTTCCGTGTCTCAGTGTTACAAACAGTTTAAATAAGGAGTTGAGAGACTGTTGAGTTTTGACTGTTTGGCTTTTTATCCTATTGCTAATACAATTCTAACAATGAACTTTAGTACCTTAGCAGGGCTGCTTTTGTGAGCACTCTTGTGATCGCTTTTATCAGACGTAGCCTTGTCTTTAAGTGCATTAATCATTTAGTCACCTTAACGTATCCATGCTTTATACTTAGAACCATTTCTCCAACAAATGCTAAAATATTTAATCCTGAAAAGACTACTTATTTAACTGTCTGCCTGTTGCATTACACTTGAGAAGGAAAAAAAAGAAAAGGAACTTTTATACGCTGCCCAGGTTTTTTATTTTGTCTTTCAATGGAACTAAGGTAACTGCTTGAAATACTTCCCTAACTTTGTACTAAGAAGTTAAATGGTGAAGTTTTCTGGTAAAAGATTGCGGTAATGAAGCACCCAGAATTAGAGCAGATCATTTTACAAATAATCCTTGCGCAAAGGGGCAGTTTTGCCTTATTGCTCATAGGAGCATGACAAAAATCACTCTTTGTGAAGCCAAGTCAAGATTTCTGGTTCACGAGCTTGGAGGTGTGAATGCAGCACACAGGGATAAACTCCGTCAGAAAAGCCTGAACCATAATGCAAACTAAGACACTGATTTGTTGTAGAATGTGTTTCTATAACGGATGTGAAGTGGTTTAGTGCACACAGACCTGTTGGAGCGCTGGCTTGCCAGGCTTGGAAGACTCCCCATGTAACTAAATAACTGCATGTCGTGTTACAGGTTATTTTTGTGTTTTGTGTGTAAAATATTTGTAACTTGAATTTTCGACTGCTCATTGTCTAAGGCTCTCCATGTAGATATGTAGATAAATATTTACACTGTAAGAGAATTAGGGGAAAGTAGAGCGTGTGCCTTTTAAACAGCCTAAACTTGTCGGTGTCTCCAGATGCTCAGCTATAGCGGTAACTGCAATAGCTCGGTCTGGAAAGGTCGGAATCCTTAACCTTAGGTTTTGTGGAGAGTGTGGGAGATGAAAGTTACTCAGTAAGCCGTAACTCAGTCTGACTGGACGACATCCAGCAGAGTTTACAATTCATATCACACGTGTGAGTGTTCCTGCTTTGCTGTCCAGATACACTGTGAATGCGCTGGAGCTCTTCAGGTGTCAACATTGGAAAAACAAATCCTATTCTTGGTCTTTTTGCAAGTCAGCCATAAAGAAGTTGCTTCGTTTATGAACAAATTCCTTTACCTCTCAGCCCAGAGCACTCACTGCCGTTTGTGAGGAAGTTTACATGCAAAGCAAGGAGGATTTGCTGCCTTCGTACTCATTGTACGTCAAAGATATTTTTATTCTATAGTTTTCTAGATTTTTATCAGTGAATGTATTTATACGGATACACAAATTAGACTGGGGGGAAAGAAATCAGTTCTGCTGTTTAACAGCTGGTTACCCAAAATGACCCCCAAAATCCCGTCGTGTTGAATGATTTTATTTATAATGCAACGATTTGCCCATCAAGACCAGGAGTTTGAATAGGCCGCTCCATACGTTGTGCTCGGTGTATAGCTGCCTCGGTGAGTTCGTTTTAAAACGAAACGTGTTTTTCACATGGACCTCTTTGTTCTGTCAATATTGGAGGGGAATAAATTAACCTATGCACTAATAAATTTATCTAAGCTAGCATCTTGTGGCTCTTTTTATATTCGCGTTGTTGTGATCTTGGTGAGTATTTCCAGAAGTGTTTGAATAAGGCAGATGTGTTTCCACAAGGAATTATGTCAACCAACCAACACCTGCGTCTGGGAGTAAAGGTGGTGGAAAGTTTTTACCAAAAAGGGTGTGGAGGTGGTCAGAGCAGCTGTAGATGTAATTATGAAGACATTAATGGGATTTATTAACTTAAACCATGCCCGTGGAATTCTGCTTGAATATTAAACTTGACAAATACGGGAATTATTTATTTGATAAAGCTATTAATGTGTTCTGAAAGTTCCTCATGGAAGTGCATCTCTTCCAGAGCAGAATTAAAACGACTCCCTCCTACCTGTCACTGTGTCCCTGGGGTGCTGTGGGAGAGGCCGGTTGTGCCCTTCTGTTTGTGGGGGCTTTTTGGGAGAAATTCGGAGTGAAGACTATTCAAGGCTTCATTGACCTTCATTGAGTCAGTGCTTGCTTTGCACAGAAATAGATTGAATTATGAGAACTTCTGTAACGGTCGACACCAGTGAGGATGTGCAGGTGGAGTTAACACCCAAGCACTCTGGAGCTGGGAATTGGGCAGCTTGGGGCTGTTACAGCTTTACAGTTAATAACTCAAACTCGTCCATAAAGGAAGCCAAGGAAGCCAAATCTCAACATAGGGCAAATGTTAAGTGGCCATTCTGGGAAAGATCTGTACTCCCAAAATGCTCGGGCACTTCATAAATGTGGGGATGTGGAGCTCCTCACAGTGGTGAGAAGCACCCGGGGGAAAAGCACCACATCTGAACATAATCGAGTTGAAGAGAATGAACTGAAGCTGTTTCCAAAGTAAATGTGTCTTTTTTCTGCTCTTTGCAGTGTAGAACAGAGCAGACATTTGCAGGCAGGGTTGGTTTGGCACAGCACTGCGGGATTCGTGGTTAATGCCAGCCTGATAACATTTAGAAGACAAAGGGCAATGCGCTGCCTGTGAGGAAGGACGTTTTCCTGTATAAAAACCTCACTGTAAACCCCCGCCCTTTCAGGTGGCTGTGGTCAATGTCCCTTTGAGAGAACACTTCGGGTATGGTGGGGGTTTTTTTGGGGGTGGGGTGATTGGGTGTGTAAAGACTTGGGTTACCCGCTGTTAAATTTACCGCGATGTGTTCATGTGGTGTGTATGCCGCTGCTGAAAATAACCCCGGTGCCTGGCGCTGCGGGCAGCGGGGCAGCCCTGGCACCCGTGAATGGGCTCAGGCGGCCCCGTCACCCGCAGGAACGGCTGCTCCCTCGCACGTGAAGTCCCGCTGCCTGTAGTAAAGCACTTGAAACCAGGTTTGGCATGGAAAGAGCCTTCTGTAGGCACTTGTAGCTCTGAAGAACAAAAGCACTTCTGGAATAAAGGCTTTTGCAAAGGGAAATAGATAGAGATGGTAAGTAATTACCAAATAATCGGGGGTTTGTATTGTAGAGAATTACAAGAAGACTTTTCCACCGTGTGACCTGCTCTGGTGATCCTGCTCTGGCAGGGGGGTTGGGCTGGATGAGCTTTCGAGGTCTTTTTCAGCTCCTAACATTCTGCTTTTATTGGCTGCACTTGAATGCATTGTACTGCAAGGAGGGGAAAGAAGGATTTTGATGTTCAGGAGTAAATGGTTCTTAGAAAATGGCTAAGTTATGATACCAATAACTACCAGTGCACAGCAGGCTGCAGGTTGGCAAGAAAACAAGGATGATTTTCCATACGAAATGTTATTTCCCATATCCATTTAGAGAGTGCTGGGTCAGCCCGTGCTGGCTGCTGTCAGCTGAAGGTGCACGGAGCTGACAACGTTACATGAACACAGGGCAGCTCGCTGTACAGAATGTGTTGGAACAGAGGTGCTGTTCATGTAACACCATTTATCATCCTTCTATGCCATCTTGCCGAAAATGCAGAGGCAGCTTCACTGCATCTTTGACGAGGTTATTTGTGGTATTGCACAGAACCGCTAACTCTCTGTAGTTTGAGTCTGTTGTATAACCTTCACCAGTATTTCTATCATTGGCTAAGTGTGTTAAGGGAATTATCTAAAAATTTCTGAAATTAAGTGGAGGCTCGTAGATGAAGGTGAACAAGAATTAATGGGTGGATGATAACACTGACAGCTGCTTGTAAAGAAATCTTGGGCTTAGTTTTGAAGTTTCCTGCTTTCCTGCATTGAGATACCAACAAGAAGCAGATGCAAACCAATGAAGGCAGTATTGGTCATCACTGACGATGTGGGGGTTTTTAATTAACTTTACTGATGTGAACTACCTAGATCAGATCTTCAAAAAATGAGCAAACTGAGTTATCTACGTAGGTGTGGGATGCAAGGAAACATTTTCAGGGTTTAAATCCATGTGTACCAAGTGAGGTTAATTCTGCTTGGCTCATGTTGTAATGGGCTAATGCCTCCTATTGGCGTGGAAATGAGTTGCTTGTTTAAAAAGGACTAATGTGCACACAGGTGAGTGAAAATTCAAAGCCGTTTGAATGCAGTATGAGTTTGTTACGCGTGCAGTGGTGGTCTGTCTTGCTTAGAGATTTTGTAAGTGCTGTACATCCAAGCAAAGCTCAGGGTCTCGGACTGGAGCATTCAATTTTGGATGAGCTCAGCACAAGGGAAAGAAGAGGTGAGCTGTGCTGGGGGACTGCAGTTCAATACTGACAGCCAGAGGTACCACATGGAGGTGCATCCCCAGGTTCAGCTGTGGTTGGAGTGGTTTTACTGCACACAGGAGGAAGCCAACGGGGAGTTAACACTCGGATCCTCTTGCTGGAGCTGGAACAGCATCGTGTGTTTGCTTTTACACCACAACCGTTAGAACAGGGTTAACATGTTCAGTTCACCGTGTTGGAGTCTCGCATCCACCAGAGCAGCACTGCAGGCTCTGTTTGGTGGTCAGTGGTGCCATAAAGCAGGAAAGGATGAGAACCACAAACTGCAGGAAAACCAAGGCTGCTTTTCCCAGCCCCCCGTGGCGCTGGGCCCTGGCGGGGTCACTGCGAGCCGAGATTCACCACGCGTGGAAACTGCTCGTAAATGTGGCACGGCACAAAAAGCAGGCAGTGTAGAACAGAGCTCCACTGGGGTCCAGTCTGGGTTTTGTTCGTTAGCCTAAGTAGCTGTATTCATCTTCTGACAGTGATTGGAAGACTGCGGAAAGAAACATGATTCCTTTCCCTGAGACAATACGATTTACTTTTATTTTCCTAAATAGTATTACCAGTTACTC